GTTAGAGCGGGGAAATGGTGGTGCCCTCTGCTGCCCCTTGCTGCTGGGGCTGCTGGCTCTCGTCAAATCGCCCACTCCCTCGCTTGTCTATCCACACACGAATGCGCGACCACAGTCAACCTGCAGCTCTGCTCCCTCGCTGTTTCCCTGCGATTGCTTGCTGAGTTGCCCACCAGGTCCAACCCTGTGCCTGGATTCCGTGCGCCTGAGTCCGTCTCACCGAGTTTTCCTGTGCTACCCCACTCTGCCAGCTGCTGCTTTCGCCCCTCTTACCGGTCAGGCTGAAGAATTTGTTGTTATCAGACTTCCGAAAAGTTCAATTTTCTGTGTTCTGGCTGTGTTTTCTGTTGCTATTATTTAGTTTTCTCTAAACTTGGTTGTGTGAGGAAGCACGGCGTCTCCACCTATGCCACCATCTTGGCGGTAGTCTCCCCTCTTCGATAATTTTTAAATTATCTTTTAATTAAAAGATCAAAATTATCTTCTCGTTTGTAGCTTTTTGAAACTCAGTCTACTTATTAGTTACTTGTTGTTTGTCAGTAAAACTAAGCGTCCTTCTCCTCCAAAAAAATTAAAATTCTCCTGGAAAACCTTTCTTTCTTGACCAGAGTGGAGGAGGCAGATATCAGAGGAAAGAAGAGGAAGGGTGAAGGAACCTGTGTAAAGGACCCATGGACAAAGACAAAGGCGGGGTAAGGGGTACATGGAGGATGGTGGGTAGGGCAGGGGAGAGTAATGGGTGGGAAATGGGGACAACTTTAATCGAACAACAATTAAAAAAACCTTCTTTCCAACACTGAATTCTATTCAGCACATTTTTGGTTGCCTGATGCTGAGAGACAATTAAGAAGGTAGAATGTACAGCATGATGGGACACCTTCAAGAATACAAAATCCTACAAAGATACAAAGGATAATGCAGTAGGGTCACCAAAAAGCACTCCACAGAGAAAAGTCACTCAATTTTGGATAAATGCCTGCTCTTGGGCCTTAGACAACTTTCATCTTTTATTACTGTGCAGTAAAAGCCAAATAGCTTTCTACTAGGATGTAACAGTTCTTTGTAGAGTAGAAAACTACATAAATGTCAAACATATTTTCTTCTGGGAACGGCACAGTAAAGAAGTTTACCCCAAAGAGAGGTAACAAATATCTTTGTTCAGAACTGGAGTCATCACATCAAGATCTTAGGGTAAAACCAGTCATACAATGATAGTCTTAGGGTTGGGTTGGACATATCAGAAAGAGACAGCAAGACCATGTGACTTAGGATGGGGACTTTCAGTCATGCAGCATCAGTCGACCTGGATGCTGAGTTCAACCACATGGACACTTGATAAATGAAGCCTATATAATAAAGCCCCAATTTTAAAAAAACGAACAGCAAGGTTTGGTGACACTTTTTTGTTTGGCAAGGTGTGTTGTAACACATCAATGCCAGGAGGGTAATGCAATGAGAGAACAATGGAAGGTCTGCACTTTGAAACCCTTCCAGATTCTGCCCAAAGTATCTCTACTTGGCTGACATTTATGTGTATTCTTCACTAATAAACCATAACTACAGTGACTTTCAGTGAGTTCTATGAGTCCTTATAGCAAATTATCAAAAGTGTGGGTGATTTTGAGAACCCCCCCAAACTTGCAGATGGTATAAGAAGTGAGGATGGTCTTGGGGACTATGCCCTCAAACTGTGTTTGTCTAACTATGGGCAAAAAGATGGGTTTTTTAACCAGTGCAAATCTGAATATGTTTAGTATCTTGTGTTGTTTTTTCCCTTCAGAGTGGCTGTGACTTCTGACTTGCTTCTAAACAACAGAACACTGCAAAGGTGAGGTGGCATATATGTGATTATATGTGCATGATTGCTATAAAGGATATACTGTCCATCTCGCTAGAAGACTATTTCCCTTTGTAGCTGTCAAGAAGTAACCTGCCTTGTTAGGAGCTGCCTGATAGAAGAGGCCACACTGCAAGGAACTAGGGTGGCTTTTGGCCAACATCTGGCAAGACAATGAGGCCCTTAGTCCCACATTCTGCAAGGATCTATGGCCAACAACCACATGGGCTCACACACGGATCCTTTACTTAACTCTTGTAGTGAGGGTGCAGCCCTAGCCAACAACTGGATTACAGCTTTAAGGTAAGATCCTGAGACAGAGAACCCAGCAAAGCCATGCCTAGACTCCTGACCCACAGAAACTGTGAGATAATAAATGTATGTTATTTTAAGCCATTAATGAGTGTCAATAACCCATATGGTAGACAAATAGTAGTATTCTTTAGGAATGTGACATTAGTGAGATATTTCTAATATTAAAATAGAATCATATCACTACTGGCTACAAAAAAAAAATCTTTCAGTGCCCAAACACCTTAGCAAAGCAAAAACAATCCCCTTACTCTGACCTCTTGTCCTCTGTCTGATCTCTACTTTTGGGCCACTGCCTCACCACCTCTCTCCATCCCTTCAAGCTCTAGCCATATACAACTAATAAATTTTCTCAATTATTTACCCTCCCCACCTAGCTGATGCTCCCCTTCCTAGAACCTCACCCCCTGCCACCATCTCCACTTGTCACCCATTTTCTCTACATATGTCAGTGTGGTACAGCCTCTGCTCTCACCCTCTTTCAGGCTGTCACAGCCTGCACATTTCTGTGTAACAGGTCCCATTGTGCATTCTATGATTTGTTTGCTGCCCTTCCTGCTGATTTACTTAAAAGGGGAGAAACTGAACTTTTCTCATCTGTGATCATTTTGTCTGTAGTTCTGGCAGAAAAGTGGTGCTCAATAAACTTTTACTAAATGAATGAATGCCAATAGAACTATATTTCTGGTTATAACTTTTAAAAAAGGATATTATAATCCACAAAGTAATTTTTTGTAGTACAAAGTATCAAACTATATATACCATTAGTAAAACTATTAATCTCTAAGATTCTCTAAATCTGATATTTAATTCCTAGCCAGTTCACCTCTCTACATTCTGTTAAACCTGCCACACATGGTGAAAACAAATCAGTATCTTCTGTTCATAATTAGATATTTTCAATGACTTCAAAAAGTTTATTGTACCCTTAAAGCCATAAAATTGACAATTTATATCAACCAAACTCCCAAAATATCACAACTAAATTTTTAAAAATTCACATTCAAATAAAAGCATGAGTATTCAAGCCTTAGTTTATTCAAGCGTTAATTTGAAAGGACCTTAAACCAGTTTCTAATATAAAAAGAGAACAAATTAATATTCTTTCCTTTTCTATTTTTAAATATTTATCCATATTTACATTTACTGAATTTTTGGCTTAGAGGAGAAATATTACCCTGATTGCTAAAAGTACCAAAGCATGATAAAAATAAACTTAATATTAAATATTTATAGTTTCGTTCACTTAGGAAACAAAAATATCTTTTTATTATCATATCTAAAATATAAATCAAATCTACTTTTAAAAGGCTGATTCTGACACTTGGATTATTTTATACATAACTAGTACAAAGGGGAGGGAATCCCAAATGACTAAACTATAAAATAATTCGTGCTAAAAGTAATTTTTACATTGAATTATAGTATAAAACAATATTTTTACTACTAATAAAAGTGATCATAGACTATGCTTTGGTTTGCTGTATTATTTCATTTTAAAAATGTTTTTATCTCCTGTAGAAACATTAAAATAAAAAGCATAATTTTAGAAGTATGTGATCTTCATAAGCTAATATTCACAAAAACATTAGTGTTGATTTTATAAGGTGAAAATAACACAAACTTACAATAATTAGTAGAAACAGACTGAACACAACAATTACAAATATTTTAAGCACAGTTCCTTGTACAACACACTACATTTCACCCTAGAGAAAGAATGTTGTTGGCAAAGATCTCTACCCATATGGAAATTGCTTTTAAAGCTGTTAGGCCCTGAAATTCTACTCAGCAGTTTGAAATCAATCCATAGCTTTCCTCATTTACCCTCCCACTTGGGGTTTAAGCACAGATATGAACATGTACTAAAAAAAAACACAAGAAAATTTCAAAACAGCTAAAATGGTAGGCTCCCCCCATGACATATTATTTTAAATATCATTTACTAAGTTGTGACTCGTCTAACAAGTCTTAATAAAGGTTATCTCTATTTTTTAATGTTTTAGTTACCTTAAACAATTATTTTTAACAAGTACATTAGTATACATCATTGTGTAATTTTAATATCCATTACAGGCGAGAAAATAATGCTGCAAATGACACAAATCTTGTTATTCCTCATTTTTAACCATTGATTTTTTGATGAACTGGCATCTACAATGCAGTGCCAGGGACTGAGTGATTCTGTTTGAAATTACCTAAGAAAAAGTCTGAAATGTGCACTGCCAGATAATACCCATCGATAGCCTAAATCCTTCCCATCACGTTCCCCTAATCCTTTATTACATTTCTATATTTTTCTAGTCTGCAATACTATTTTTTATTTTTCATAGTTTAGATTTAAAAAGCAATTCTATTAATTAAAAATAGTGATGTCTATGAAGATAAAAAACCTACTAAGAAAATTAAAAGCATGGCTTTTCCCCTATTTCGTACCATCAAAAAGTATTAATGACTACTTTTCACAATGTTGGATTTAAAGTTTAAATTTTAAAACTTTTCTTGAAACTTGTTTTGTTTATACTAATAGAAATCAAGAGTTCTTATACAATAGCAAAGTTGAAATATGATATTTTAAACTCACAGGAGACAGGATCTTGGGTCTTCATTTTAACTATTTATACTGCAGGTATCCTAAGATTTCAAGCCCATAAAAGTACCTTTGTTCATAGCACATAATTATTAAGAAACTGAAATCATCAACATTGCTTGAATTTTCTTGATAAAAAAGATATAAAACCATTTTCTGTAAGTGTTTTTTAGAATACCACTGACACAAAAACTTTTAGCATCTAATTAAAGATCACTAAGGGTTAAATATTTGTTCTCTGGCCCCTACTGCGCACACCCTGCCAAAAAGTCCTCTAAGCTTTTAAACATTGCTTCGATGGTCTGCATTTCTACTTTCAGGGATAAAGGAGTACTGTTCTACAATCAGCAGGCCACTACTATCTTATTAACTTCCAGTCACCTTAATTTTTGTTAAAATGAAGATTCTGCAGTCTACACTTCTGTTGCTGTTTGTGCCTCTGATAAAGCCAGCACCACCAACTCAGCAGAACTCACACATCATCTTTGATTATGGAACAGATAATTTTGAAGAAATCTTACCTACCCAAGATTATAAGGATCAATACCTGGATGGACAAAATATCAAGGTACCTTATTTCTACTCTAAATTTAACTTCTTACAAAAGTCTAGCCCATTTAACTGCATGCTTTTGTTTTTTTCTCAATGTGTCTCATAACATAACAGGAAAGAAAAAGCACTTTAAGCAATTCAAAGAAATTGAAAATAAGTATCCCTAAGATTATACTTTTAAAGTATGTGTGTCTCTCAGATTATTAAATAATACCTATGGTAACTAAGCAATATTTATAGCAACTAACACAAAATTTAAGGAAAACTAAATTTTAAGGTGGTCCCTGACCAATTGAAATTTATATATTAAGTATTAGCATTATACAATCCTCTATATTTAAATATTATATTATCTCAAAATAAAATAGGAGATGTGTATTTGGAAAAATAAAGATGGACTACAAATTTAAGGTCTATTATTTTAAGAAGAATGGTTCAAGAAAATATATAGAAGAGTACCATTATTTTCATATATATAGTATTTCACAATAATTTATATATGTCCACTACAGTACCAAAAAAAAAGAAAAAGTACTTAATATGGGGCTTTCTTTTTAGGTCAGCATCAACAATTGAGACTCTATCAGTTTGTAGCAAGTAAATGTTAACTTTCACTAAACTAATACTCTATCACATCTTTCATACTCCACTTGTATGGGTTAAGTAACTACTTGTGGTTTTCTCGGCATACCGCTGGGTATGGAAAATGTTAATATAGCACATATCTTTTCCCTGCTTATAGTGGTGCACACACACACACAGAGAAAAATAAGAAATGCAGCCAAATATCTTACAATATCGACTTTTTCTAAGTTCTTCTCCACTACAAATAAGATGGCAAAGATTTTAAGAATGACTAGTTATGTTATAGTTGCTTCTCCCTCCCGCCCTCTTTTTCTTTCTTTCTCTCTCCCTCCTTCTCTCTCTCCCCCTCTCCCCCCCCTCTCCCCTCCTCTTTCCGCTCACCCTCTCTCTTTCTCCCTTTCTCCTTCTCTCTTTCCCTCCCTCTTTTTCTTTCTTACTTTTTCTTTTTCTCACTCTTTCTCTCTCACACAGATGAGCAAATGTTAACATCACATTTTCTTTTGATGAATTTAGTTAATATGCTAGCATTATTCTTGTTCAACACTAAGACAAAAAAAATAGGTATCACTAGTCATAGCTTCAGAAATAAAGGGCCCATCATAATAATAAGATATTGGCTCACATGGATGATTTTAAACTATCAATCAGTTAGAATACTTTCAAAATTCCTTGGTCCCAAAAATGTAGTAAGTCAAAGAAATTCTGTTTCTTTTGTTCATGTTGCTTTCTTTACAAGTCCATCTTAATATAAATGAAGTGGAGCAGAATTCAGTGGCACTTAATATACAGGCACAAAGTAGAAGGGACTGATCAACCAGAACACACATGAGAGAATGAAAGAGTTAAGACAGGCTGAAGATGAAAAATACTTCCAAAGGGCCCCACAAAATATACTTTAGCCTAATGGCATATTATGTTCTCTCCCAGAATATGAAAGACAGAGTAAATAATAAAGGCCTGAATTCTCCTAGAGCTAATAGCCTAGACCAGTGGGTCTGAGTGTGGTGGGTAGGCTGGAATAAAAAGACCTCAAGGGCCAGGGCTTAATGCAGGCATGTGGATAATTAAAGGTTGCTTCCAGAAGAGACAAAAAGAGCTTACTCAGTGCTTTACACATGACATGACTAGTGCTTTAGTTCTGTTCCACATGGCAGAATATGATATTAGGAACTCAGTTCAAATAAAAACCATAAAGAATAATTAAAAGACATAATTTACATAATGATCTTAAGACACTATTTTCATTCTAGGTTTTACCTAAAAAAAACTTTAATTCCAAGTGAGAGAATTCTGCCTTAGTTCCCATTTGGAATTTCAGTATGTTCAACATTTATGAAGCATGGAGTTTGGAGATGTAAAAATAAAAAAAAGACCTGGTTCTTCTGCTCAAGAAGCCCACAGTATAAAGGAAAAGCAAGCTAAACAAATATTTACACTACTTAATAATTTAACAAGTATATAAAATCCTAATAAAACATTAAAGAAATGCCATTAACTATGACTATGGAAAAATAGATGTTGTCCACGATCTCTCAGTTTTTATAGTCAATATTAGACTTTATCACACCTGATGATACATTTTTATCTTTCTAATAGGAAAGAGAATCTACAATAATATCTGATGAGGAAAGTCTTCATTTACAAAAAGATGAGAGTTTAACATCATTACCCTCTAAGAAAGAAAATGATGGTAAGTATGAATACTTATTATCTAATTTTATAAAGATTTTATTTATTTTATTGTTTTAGGGATAGGGGAAGGGAGGAAGAAGAAGAGAAACAACAATGTGCAAGAGAAACATCAACCAGTTACCACTCACACATCCCCAGCTGGGGACCTGGCCCACAACCAAGGCACTTACCCTAAATGGGAATTGAATCAGCAACCCTTTGGTTCCCAGGCTGGCACTAAACCCACTGAGCCACATGAACTAGGGCTTTTAAAGGACCTTTAAAAAACACCTTACAGTGGAACTAAATTCTTTATAGTAATAAAAATTGCCTCTGTACAGTAAACCCAAGCAGAATTCCATCTCCAACCATAAAGTCAAATAGGTATATTAGGAGTGCACATTATTTTCCATTTCACTTTATGAGAAACATGGAATAGGAACATTCAGGAACAACCAAGGCCCTGGCTGGTATAGCTCAGTGGATTGAGCGCGGGCCTGCGAACCACACCATCTCGGTTCGATTCCCAGTCAGGGCACATTGCCTGGGTTGCAGGCCAGGTCCCTGCAGGCCAGTTCCCAGCAGGGGACGCACAAAAGGCAACCATACATTGATGTTTCTCTCCCTCTCTCCTTCCCCCCTTCCCCTCTAAAGATAAATAAATAAAATCTTTAAAAAAAAAAGAACAACCAAAGCTTAATCCAAGTTTCACTCCTACAAAGTATGTCTCTTTGTCTATATAAAAATCAATTCAATAAAAGTTATTAAACACTGATTTGAAATTCAGCCTTTTGAAGTTGTGACCTGAGTTTTCAACTTTGTGATGGTTCCAAAGTGACATGCATAATAAATTACATAAGATATTCAACACTTTATTATAAAATAGGCTTTGTGTTAGATAATTTTGCCCAACTGTAGGCTAATGTAAGTGTTCTGAGCATGTTTAAGTTAGGCTAGGCTATGAGAGAGAAACATAGATTGGCTGCCTCTCGTACATGCCCTGACTGGGGATTGAATCACAACCTATGCATGCACTCTGACTGGGAATCAAACCTGCAACCTTTGGTGCACAGGATGACACTCCAATCAATTGCGCCACCAGGCTAAGGCAATGTACCATATTTTTACCTTATGATGGGTTTATTGGAAGTAACCCCATCATAAGTCGAGAAGCATATGTACTATTACAGTCTGAGGATAACATAAGTAAAATGTAATTCTTGCCTTCAAGAAACTCACAGATGAGGGAGAGGTGGCTATATAAACTGTCCTCAACTTACAATGGTTTGACATACATTTTTCAACTTTATGATGGTGAAAAAGCAATATTCATTCAGTAGAAACTGGCTAGGCTAAGATATTCGATGTATTAGGCATAATAAATGCATTTCCAACTTACAACATTTTCAAGTTTTTGTTAGTCAGGATGTAACTCCATTGTTAACTTGAGGAGCATCTATATATACCCATGTACTGCTTAATGATGGAGATACATTCTGAGAAATGCAACATTACGTGATTTTGTTATGCAAATAACAGTGTACTCACACAAATCAAGATGGTATAGTCTACTACATACCGATGGTTAGCCTATTGAACCTAGGCTATAAGTTGGTACAGAATGTTACTGTATAAAACAATACATCATTAAATAAAAAACAAGAGGAAATAATACAATCAAGAGACCCAGTAAACACAAGTGGTATGAGGCTGCTGCCCAATGTAACATACAATGCTGTTTTATAGTAAATGTTTTTAAAATAAGTATAAAGAATATGTACATTCTGAAATAATGATAAAAAATATAGTGTAACTTCTGACCAAGATGGAGGTATAGATAGATACACTTTGCCTCCTTGCTTAACCAAGAGAGAACAACAAATTTAAAAACAAAAAACAACCAGAACTGCCAGGAAATCGAACTGTATGGAAGTCCAACAACCAAGGAGTTAAAGAAGGAACATTCACCCAGACCAGTAGGAGGGGCAGAGAAGAGCAGCCAGGGTGGGGAGGATTTGCAGCAAAGCAGTGGCTGGAGGACCCAGTAGTCCCACATTTTCAGGAGGATAAACTGAGAGGAAAAACTGGGGAGCGAGACAGACCACACGACTTAGGGTTCCAATACAGTGAAATACAACCTCAAAACCTCTGACTGAAAAAAACTGATGGGAATTGCGGGGGTGGGAGAAACTCCTAGCCTCACAGGAGAGTTCATTTGAGAGACTCACAGAGTCCTAGAATGTACATAAACCCACCTACCCAGGAATCAGCACCAGAAGGGCCCAGTTTGCTTGTGGGTAGCAGGGGTAACTGAAAGCCCACTGGGAGCTGAGCAAGCTGCATTGTTCCCTCTCTGACCCTGCTCCCACATATAGCACCGTAGCGCAATGAGGTGGGATGCCACGTCCTGGTGAATACCTGAGACTCCACCCCTTACAATATAACAGCAGCACTGAGACAAAAAAAAATTATGGCACAAATGAAAGAACAGTTCCAAGCTCCAAAACCAGAACCAAGCAATGAAGAGATAGCCAACAAATCAGATGCAGACTTCAAAGCACTCGTAATCAGCACGCTCACCAAATGGTTGAGTATGGTCACAAAATAGAGGGAAAAGTGAAGGCTATGCAAAGTAAAATAAAGAAAAATGTACACGGAACGAAGAGTGAAGGGAAGGAAACCGGGAAACAAATCAGCAATTTGGACCAGAAGGAAGAAATAAACATTCAGAACAGAATGAAGAAACAAGTATTCAGAAACAATGAGGAGAGGCTTAGGAACCTCTAGAACAACTGTAAACCCTTCAACATCCTAATCATAGGGGTACCAGAGGGAGAAGAGGAAGAGCAAGAAATGGAAAACTTACTTGAAAACATAATGAAGGAGAACTTCCCCAATCTGGCAAAGGAAATAGACTGCCAAGAAGTCCAGGAAGTTGAGAGAGTCCCAAAATAGTTGGACCCAAGGAAGCACACACCAAGGCACATTGTAATTATATTACCCAAGATTAAAGATGAGGAGAGAATCTTAAAAGCAGCAAGAGAAAAGGAGAGAGTTGCCTACAAAGGAGTGCGCCTAAGATTGTCAGCTGATTTCTCAAGAGAAACCTTACAGGCAAGAAGGGGCTGGAAAGAAGTCTTCAAAGTTATGAAAGGCAAAGACCTATATACAAGATGACTCTATCCAGCTAAGCTAACATTTGGAATGGAAGGGCAGATAAAGTGCTTCCCTGAGAAGGTCAAGTTAAAGGAGTTCATCATTTACAAGTCTGTATTATATAAAATGTTAAAGGGACTTATCTAAGAAGAAGAAGATGAACAAAACTATATGAATAGTCAAATGACAGCAAACTCACAACCACCAACAACTGAACCTAAAACAAACAAACAAACAATACAAAACACCTAAGCAAACAACTAGAGCAGGAAGAGAATCACAGAAATGGAGATCACATGGAGGGTTATCAATGGGGAGGGGGAGAGGAGAGAATGTGGGAAAAGGTACAGGGAATAACAAGCATAAATGGTAGATAGAAAATAGAGAGGGGGGGAGGTGAAAATAGTATAGGAAATGGATCAGCCAAAAAACTTACATGTACGACCCATGGACATGAACTAAGGGAGGGGAGTGGGGATGGGAGGCGGGTGCAGGGGGGAGGGGAATAAGGGCTGAAATGGAACAACTGTAATAGCATAATTGATAAAATATATTTTAAAAACATATAGTGTAATTAACACATAAATCAATGACACATTAATTAATGATAATTATCAAGTGTGAACATAATTGTGTTAGTTACACTTTTATACTAGTAGTTCAGTAAGTTTAGTTACTCTAGCATCACCACAAATATGTAACGTATTGTGTTATGACATTATGAAGGCCACAACTTCATTAGATGATAGTTTTTCAGCACTATTACAATCTTATAAACTACCATTGTATATGTCATCCACCACTGACCACAAAATCATTAGGTGGTGCATGACTGTACAAAAGTAATTATAATGTACATTTCAATTAAGAGAATAGAAAACTTAAACTACAGTTCCTACCTGATTTATTCTTGTTCTATTACAGAACATTACTTCATATGACATGAAAAAAAGTCACGCACTAATTTCTATATTGCTACAATAAAATTAAAATGAACCAAAACAGATAATATATCTTAAGAAAACTGAAAAGTAAAAATAGATTTGAATAAGTAGAAAGACATTCTTGGTGCTCAGATAAAATGACTCACTATCATAAAGATGTCAGCTATCTCTAAATTTGTAACAAGAAACTTCTTTAAAGATCTGGTAAGGCTGATAATCTTAAGTTTGTATAGAAAAATCAATCTGCATGAACAGCCAGGGAAACACTGAAAAATGATAGGTATATGCAGGAATCAGATGTACCACACACAATAGAACACAGCTTAAAAATATTCCAGTTTGAAAAAGCATACCAGTGCATGACAAAATAGAAAGCCCAGAAACAGATAAAAATACAAGTAGAAATTTAGTATATGATAAAATCAGCATCTAAAATCACTGAAACAAAGGTAATGTTTTTTTTTTTTAAATTGTGCTTGGAAAACTGAGTAGCCAACTGAAAAGGGCTACAATTAGATTTATACCTTACACCAAAAATTAAACTCCAAATAAATTCAGGTCTAGCCCTGGCTCGTGTGGCTAAGTGAATTGAGTACCAGCCTGTGAACCAAAGGGTCACCAGTTCTATTCCCAGTCAGGGCACATGCCTAGGTTACAGCGCCAGGTCCCCAGTTGGGGGAGTGAGAGAGGCAACCACACACCGATATTTCTCTCGGCCTCTCTTTCTCCCTCCCTTCCCCTTTCTCAAAAATACACAAATAAAATCTTTAAAAAAAATAAATTTGAATCTAAATTTAAAAAGTGAAACCATACAAATACTAGACAATAACCTGGGTGTGAATTGCTTCCACATCCAGAGACAATAACAGAAAAGGTCAATAACTTCAACCCCATAAAATAAAATTTTGCATAGCAAAAA